ACCACAAGATGCAGCGTGGAAAGCTCTACAGTTTATAAAGAACAGTTTATTTTATATATGAAATAAGAAAAAACGGAATTTCTCTTCGCATGATTTTTTTCGGGGCAGTGAAAATTGGTCGCACAGAATTTTGATTTCTTTGACAAGAAATACATAATTAAAATAAGCTGTATTTTGTAGATTGCAGAGCTTTTCACGCTGTATATTGTGATGTATTTTGTTTTTTTTAAATAAAAGATATCAGGTGACAAAAAGATGAAATAAGAAAAAATGAATTCATCTTCTACCAAAAAATATCGTTTTCGTACGATCGAAAATTAAATCGATTGCTCAAAATTTTGTTCATTTTGAAAACAACATATGCAACTATAAAATAAGCGGTCTTATGTAAATTGTTGAGCTTTTCACGCTGCATCTTGTGGTATAGTTTGTTTTTTAATACAGTGTATTAAGTGATTGAAACATTGAATCTGCCTCAGTCGTTAGTTTGAGTTTTACACAAAAACAGTTCTTATCGAAATTTTATTAGTATAATACTAGTTGGATAGTGATGAAATAGTGTAGAAAAATAGAGCTTCATTTGCTCTATCATTCTATAAAAAAAGAATTTTTTTTTGACCCTTTTATAAGGAAATAAGATAGACGCGACATTACTTTTGGATACACCTAAGTATATATCAATATTTCAATGTGAAAATCTTCAAGATGATATTATCTTACTTAAAACTCTTTTTTTTTTGAAACAAAAGGACTATGTTCATGAGGTTTTGACCACGTTGTATCAAAGTGATCTTAGATTTCGATGGAATTATCAGTGATTTTACAACTCTTAATTTTATAGATTTTATTTTCAACCTTGTTTTAATATGCAAGTCTACCAAAAGCTATTGGAGAAAACCGTACGAAAAGACCGTTTTTTTTTTTCGAAATTTTAATTTTTACTGTTTAAAGTATTTTGGATATATCTCCATTCAAATAAAAGCTTTTTCAAAAAACTAGTTTTATCATAATTCTTAAAATTAAAAGCTCTACAAACGCTGCAAAATTCATTAAAACCGGAGGTGCAGTGGAATGCTTTAAATCTTTATGTTATAAACATATCCACACGCACATCCGAGTCAGTCAAGAAGCAAAGACTCATGGTGATTTACTCAACCATAATTACTCTCTTCCTAGTCGGTTATGGTATGGCGTATGCACAAGCATAAATTTACAACAGAAAGTATGTGTGAAAAAAATTCAACATTACCCAGCTATGTTTCTACCAGACATAAAATCATCAGTATATGATGAATTTCAATACCTCTTATGAACAGAAGCAATATTGATTTCTAATACCGAATCCATTGGTATGAGTGTTCAGACGCAGATCTGAAATGTGGATGGCGGAGAGTCACGTGAGCATGTGAAATAAATGCTCATTTACATTACTCACATCACTCATCCATAGCCCCTACATGTAAACATCTACATCCCATTCTTACTCTTATTCTTGATTAGGTTCTTTTAAAATGTATTATACTGATTTTTCACATAAAAGAGAATATAGGAAGTCTATTTTCTTCGAATTAAACCACGAAAACAAGAATATTATCTTGTGAACACGGTAGTGAGTGTTTGACTTTGATACTAGCATGTTGAAGCATTTTGAAAATACTTGAAGTCTATCCGAGAACAAAGGAATTTGATAGTACCTTTTAAGAAAGACATCTTAGTGTCCTGTCTGAATTGAGATGGTGCTGCAAAAAATCGCACCCCTTGTTAGTGGAGCATTTTTTTGTGATTACCCAGCTTAATTTGCCTATCACAAGCTCAATATTGTCAAACTTTCTTTTTAAGATTTCAATCCTTCTGAGATTATCTTTCTGCAGTCGATTTACAACTGGAAAAGAGCGTGGCTATTTACTCTTTCAAGCGTGACTATATGCAAACCCTAACCCGGTTTCCAGAATAATGAATCTTAAAGAATATTTATTTTAAGAGAAAAGATCAATATGAATGCTCTGCCATATATATATTCGTATGTTATTTTTACTGTCAGCTGTTGTATATTTGGCCATCGCGAAAAGTAGACTGTTACCAATAACTCATTGTCTGCCATGCTACATGATATGATGGCCATACCCAACTCCAGCTGCCTACTGGAATACCTGTTTCTGCTCGTTGCACCAATGCAAATGTATGATTTGGATGTATTGTCGGTGCTTGTACTATACACTGGTCACATAAATCGTAGGTATTAAATCCTCGACAGTCCTGACATTGATATCGATTTCCGCTGTTTTGTCGACCACAGTTGTCGCAATACCATAGTGCTGATTCCATGAGTAAAAAGCAAAGTCAGATCGAAGTGATGTGTTGGCAAAGTTATACTGTCTATTACTGATCGATATGGCAAATTGACTCAAAGAAGTTTTCAATCAGTCGAGAAGAAAAAGGCTCACAGCAATTCACTCAACCATGACGACTCTTCCTGATCAATTATAGAATGGTGTATACATAATGATAAAATGACGGGAGAAAATATGTGCGAAAAAAGAAATTCAACATTAATGAACCGTGTCTCAAAGAAACACAAAAACACATTGCTGCAACACTCGACTTATAATATTCGATGCAATAACAATTAAAGATGATTACAATATCAATATATGATGAATATGAATATCTCTTATGAGCAGAAGAAAGAAACATTGACTTTCAATATCGAATTCATACATTCATTATGGGCTTTCAAATAGAAAGCACGAACAGTGTACACCTAATCAGAATGTGAAGAAAAAAAGGCGCCATGTGAGACCGGTCACCCCCCCCCCCCCCCACCACGCTCTGCAATAATTATTCGTTTTATTTTTACCACTAACGACTTATGATATAATCTTCTATTATTAATAATCTAAGATATCATGTGCTCGAATAAATAAAACAGTTTTCATTAGAATGAGAAAAAGGAAGTAAAAATCAATCGCGAGAATATAAATAAAATTGTAACAATCAGTCATGTTATTTATTGAGACCACCTTTCTTGATAGCATCAAGAACTTTGTCTGATACGGAACAAGTTAAACCAGTACCATCTGGTTCAGCAAATAATTTCTTTACTTTATTATTATCAATAACCATAGCATATCTAAAACATAAAAGAAGAAATATTATCAAACTTAAACAAAAAAAAAACAATTTACCGAGATGATCGAACATTGCCTAATACAGCGGTCATATCTTTTTCAAGTCCAAGAGCCTAGAATTACATAATAAAAAAAATATTTTTCATCCTTCTATTTTTCCTATGTTTTGTTTTTACCTTGGTAAATTTAGCATCAGGATCAGCTAATACTCGTACCTAAAATTAATAAAAATGAATATGAACTGTCAGTTATCAAAGTACATTATTTAATTTTCAACAGATTAAAATGGTAAAATGGAAATAAATAAATCCTAGTCCTATGAAATATTAAAAAAAAATTGTACAATCGTACGCTACTGAACTTTGCTATCTCAGGTGATGCATTCATAATAAATGAAAGCATTATAAGATATAGTGGGGTATCTTTGATGCTGGGAAGTAACAAAAGAAAACTTTTATCAATCGGACTAAAAAAAAAGAGAACCATCCAATCTGATACTCGCAAAAGTCTTAAAGGATTCGTCATGATGAGTCATTATGAATATTTTAAAATTTTCAATCGAAAAGAATGTCAATTGGTCAGGATATTGAGTTTTCAAGTAAACTTGATTTTTTCTATCATGTCTATGGCAAATAATTAGTTTTTTGGATACTCGATATCTCAACAGAAGACAAACATTGTTCTCAAATATAACTTTTACAATATTCTACAGATCATTCGATCTATCTATGAGCATTATCTACCGTTAAATGAATTAAAAACACTCCTAATCATAAATAGACTTTTTTAATAAAAGATTTTACTATAAATACATAGTATATTAAATTAATAAATTTTTCCTTTCGATTCATCTGCTTCTATCCAGGCATCATTATAATAGTACCATAAAACAAAGTACATAGGTTGTTGCAAGCAGATTAGTCAAATCTACGAAAATTTGATCTGTTTTCATCTTTGTTTTCTACACAAGTTGACTATATCAATTAAGGAATGAATTATATTTTGTAATCTGACTTCATTCAAGAAAGCTTTCGTTTCATCTCTATTAATTTTTATATTATACTCTTTTTTTTCTTCAAATAAATATTACACAACATTATCTTTCGTACTTGTCCTTCAGCATTATGTTGTTTTGCCCAAGCTTGACAAACAAATGGATCATTAACAGTTACACAAACTATTGTATCATAACCAAGTTTTTGAAATTCTTTTGCCGATTTAACATAACCAGGTAAATGAGTCTAAAATACAAAACTAAAAATTATACAAAATTATTTATCATAATCAACCTTTGAACAACCAGGAGTAACTAATAAAATTAAAAAGAAAAAGAATAATTATTTCAAATAAAATAAAAGTTATTTAAACTTACATGCACCAGGTACACCGAATAAGACTGAAAAAAGAAAAAAAAACGGTGATAGTAATTAATTTAGCAAGACATGTTACTCACTTCCTTTTTTTCCAGCAAAAACATCTGTAATATTTACTTTATTTTTTGGTTCATTTTCATACAATGTATGATTTGGTAAAGTAGCTCCTTCCTAAAGATGCAAAAATAGTTTACAAAATAAAAATTTTGTTTGTTTTTTTTTTCTTCTTTACTTTAATGGCATTAGCAGATAAGAATAAGGGTTTTGTTGCATGAAATGCTCGAACAGCTGTTGCTGTTGATAATTGAACAGTTTTAATAACACTAAACATGATTAGATTGTTCGAATGGATTAATGTATGAAAAAAAATAATTAATAAACAGAAATATTTTCTCAACGTATTGGATTGGTTACATTATAGACGAATCATATTTTATAGTTATTTTTTTTTTTTATTTAGCAGCAAAATAGTTTGTGGTTTCTAATATTATCAACAATAATGTGGTTTTTATTAAATATTGTACTTGAATTTATTATTTATTTAATTGTTGATAATATAACAAAATTGATTCTTATTAATAATAGGTATGTCAAATTTCTTTTCTTTTATTACTTTTTTTTTTGAATAATTTGTTTAGAAAGGAAATTCGTTTTGATATATTTGTATTTGAATGTATGATTCTTGGTTTTATAATTGGTTATCTATCAATTTATCATCATATAACATATCTATTAATATTTCTACTTATTATTCATATTATTGGAATACTTTATACAGAGAAACGTTTTGATTTAATAAAAGATACCTTTAAAATATTTATTCATATTTTTATTCAAATATATCGATCAATAATAAATTGTTTATATAATTTTATTTCAAAATATAGTATTAATCATTCATCTTCAAAACCAATAATAACAAAAAAACTTCCAGAAAAATGTTTATATACTTATCATCTAAAACCGACAAATGATTTGCGACTTCAACAAGTAAACTTTTATTGAGAATTCGTCTTTGAATTCTTTTTTGTTTTTTTTTTTTTGTGTATTAATTTCTAGCCATCGTTTGTTCAATCATTATCACGACCTGGTATTTTTAATCTACATGGAACAACATGTTCATTAAATGCTCTTTTACAAAGTTTAGCATCACTTAATAGTTTTTATTCATCATTACAACGAAATATAAATGTAAGGAATAAATCAGACAAGTGATTTTTTTTAATGTTAATTTTAACAGTAAAAATCAATAATAAAATTTAAGATATTCTTTTTTGAGTTATGTTAGCTATGTGAAGACTTCTGTAAATAATAATGTCTTGTATATTTATCATTTAGTACGTAATATATAATTTTTAATTGAGGTAATAAATTGTACGCACAGGTTGGAGTGGAAAGGTATTCAAATTAAACGAGATCTTCTATTAAAAACATGAAATATGAAGAAGAAGATTACTCCTATTCGATATCTTCCCTACAATTAATACAAGCTATAGTTCCGAACAAAAGGCCGATCTGACATCGGGTTCTTTTACTCTCGGTATACACTGATTAACCACACGAAGACAGATGTATGTCACAATGTAGTTAGCATATAATCGGATGGGTAATCTGTGTAAAACAGTCTTATTCAGAGTCGTTTTATGATTGGTAATACCAAGGTTTGAGCACAGCATCTATTAAATACGTGTTGTATAGCGTAGGCAGTCATCCATGACGGATATGTTGTCAAATAGAATAATCCAAAGTCCAAAAACAAACGGTTTCTCCAAAAAAATATCTAATAAACTCGAATTAGATAATTTTTTTTGTAAAGAAAAGTAAACTTTTCTTTTCTTTTCGTTTATAGCTATGAGAGACTTTCGATTTTCAGTATATCGTATTTGTAAACTGTTTATGAGCTTTCAAATCACATTGTTCTTTCAGGACGAAATCGTAAATATTTCCTTTCAAAAAAAAATATTGGTGATAAAGAAAAAACAAACAATTTTTGTGCATGATTAAAATCAAATGAAATTTAATAATCACAATAGATTTTAATAATAAGCGTTGCTGTCAAAAATAATATCTTTATTAAAACATCATTTTGTCACCTTCTTAATAGAAAAAACAAAAAAAGTTTAAATTAATTTTCTATTTAACAAAAATAATCACTGAATCTTCATATTTCTAATAATGTTTATATTTTATTTTCAAATCTCTTGCTCAATAAAGCTTTGATAATTTTCAGCTTGAAAGAAGTTTTGAGAATTCCAAACAACAAAATCAGATAGAACTAACTACATAATGGTTTCTAAATTGAAAAGTAAAAGAAAAAACTCGTTTATGTCTCAATTCTAAACTTTCTTTTAATTATCAAATCCATGATGAATTACTCTAGATGATTTGAAAAAATGACCATGAACATATTAGATGGAACTTTCAGTGAATCACGCGTGGAGAGTCTATTCCCAGCTGTAACGCGTAAGAAACATTGAATTCGTCAAGGCTACAAGTTACTCGGACGAGAAAGAACTTAGTCTTGTACATGCCGAATGTTGAGTCTATCATCCTGAAGCTGTTAGATCTTTCCACCATAATGTTAGAAAGTTATACACTGATTAGGATAACTCTTATTATGAATCAAAAATGATCCATATCTTATTTTGATTGGTTTTACCTAAATATTTGAATCCATATTTATGTTTATAGAAAGATTCATTTTTTTGTTTAAATTTAGTTTTCACGTTTTAATTATGATCCAATCGTATCTACATTTCTTGATCTTATTTTTCAATTACGAAATGATCATCGTACAACAGAACATAAACATTGGAATACACTTCTTGATACATCATTATTTATATCACAATTAAATGTGATCTATCCTAATTTATTAACAAAATATATAACAACGGATATAGGAGAATTATTTCAATGTATTATTGATGTAATGAATAATGCTCTATCAAAACAAACATTAGGCTATTCAACAAAGTAAATTCGATATAGATATTTTTGAGTTGATATATATATTTATATATCATTTGTATTTAGTGTAACCGAACAAGTACAAAATCGAAAATTAACAACATTTTCACTTGATGATTTAAATAAAATATTTGTTGAAGCTGAAGCACAAGTATAGAAAAAAAAATACATTTTCATGATTATAAAAAAAAACAAGAAAATTTCAATTTTTTTTTAGCTTTATAATAAAATAACATTAGATAATCTTGATGCACAAACATCATATATAATTCAATATATTGATCTTACTTGGTTACTTCATCATATTCAACTTGGTTCTATTATAAAACAAATGTTTTCTGGACAGTATCTTCATGCATATTGTTGTAATAAGTAAATAGAATAAGATTTGATTTTTTGTTTGTTTTTATGAAAGAAAAATTGTTCTAGTTGTTCTCATGTACGTTTTCGTGCTGAACCATTTCAAATATTAACATTATCAGTTAATAAAACAAGTACGACATTGGAAAAAATTATTTCTCAATTAACAAAAGTTGATATTGTATGAGAAGATTTTCATTTATCATTTGATCATATTTTCTTTTCTTAATTTATCTAGATCGATTCAATATCTTGTTCATACTGTTCCAATCAAATAAAGAACGATCAAGAAAGAAAATCAAGAGTAACTCAACAAGGAACACTTATAACTACAATTGCGTATGTTCTATTAATATTTTCTCTTAGGAGGATACATATATATACATATATATGAAAATGTAATGAGTTTATTAAAATTTTTAATGCGAATTCTATGAAATTATATTCAATCAAACATTAATATTGTTAGAATCAACAGGCTATATACCTTTCTAAAGACAAGTAATCTGCTGTTTTCTATTATGTTATGTAATATTTTTCGTGTTATAGTTTTAATTCATAGAGAATGTAAAATGTCATATATACATTGAAGGTACTAGAATTCGTTCTATACATAGACCAATGTTATCAAAACTATTTGTCTCATTTTGAATTGTGTTAATCATAATCGATTAGAACACTATGCAGTATCTATAGACAAAAGGTCATTAGAATCGGAAAGGAATATCTCAAGAAGTTTCCTCGTTAGTCTCGGAACGGAGTTTAAAATCGACATTTGATCGGTGAAAGTTTTATATACGTCGTAAATCTACAATCTGGTCCAAAAGTGACTTAATTATCTTTGTTCAGAAACAATGTTTGATAGGAATAGAATGGAGGACTTGTACCACTGTACGATTCAACAATGCTGCTTGATGATTGAATTATCAATCAGTAAACTTCAGGAAAATACTGATAGCTCTATCAAGATGAGACATAAGTTTATCTCGGTGAAACTCACTAGATCCACACCCGAATTCAGCATTTTTATTGCAATCCATTTAAAAGATATTAGTATAATACTCGACAATGTAAATATGGATCGTGACCACATAGATCTAATGCAATTCTTACCATTAACCTTCTGAAGCCCGCTTATTGACATTTTGATCATCAGCCGACATCGTTGAATCATACAGTGGGACACAAGCTCTCTATCTTGTTCCTATCAAAAAAGTGGCAAGTGAGTTTTTAACAATTCTATAGATCGATTTCATTTCTTGTATGAATAATTCAATTGATAATTGTAGCCACGTATTAACTTTGAATCTTTAAACTGTTTTATAGTTAAGAAGATGGTTTTTTTTTTATCTAATAACAAATAGTAAAAAACATATCGATTCTGTTTGATTTAGACCTACTGTATCATCTTTAGTTAATACACATGTTCAACCATCTGGTCAAATGTTATTCTCAACGCCAATATCGAGTATGATGTATTCTTTGAATAAAAATTTCTATTTTGTTAATTATTTTCTAGCACCTATTACTGTCACTCCATCAACAATAACTCGTAATCAAAGTAGAATAAAATGTCAAACAATGATTGCAAATTTTCCTTCAATTCTTTGTATTCAATTAAAACGTTTCACTTATGATCGTCATTCACAAACAACTACAAAATTAAATACACATATATTCATTGAACCTGAAAAAATTCTTGATTTATCACATATTCATTATACAACATGGCTTGGATTAACAAATTTATCAATAACTATACCTTCACGTTATCGACTAATAGCTGTATGTTTACATTTATCAAAAGATCTTTCTACATTATCAATTAATCGAACAAATTCAAATCATGGACATTATGTTTGTTTATATCGTACAGATAATTCACGATGGTTTTTATGCGATGATGAACGTATAACAGAAATACAACAAATTGAAAATGTTTTTCGAACGTCCTATGTTACAGAAAATTGTTATCTTTTATTTTATGAACGATTTTCATAAAATTTTGTTTTTCTTTTCGAGTTATTTCATAGTTTGGCCTTTTCGAGTATTGCTTTTTTTTTTAATGTTTTTCTTTTTCAATTACAAATTAATATTAGTTTTCGTATTTGTATAATAAGTAATAAATAGATTTGAACGGTAAACAACTATTAAATTTTTATACTTCTATATTTTTCAAACAAAAAATTCTACTATGGTAATCATCATAACACATTGTTTTTAATTGTTTCATTATCATCATTCTATTGAGTCTATTTTAAATTATTTATTAATGCTTTAATTATTGATTTTAACAGGAAACTACCGATAAATAACGAGTTTCACATAGCTAGATGAAATAATCGAGACACAAAAACCTAATAATAGTTTCTTATGTTCATATTACTTCTTTAATGGTCAAGATTGGCATAATGGATTCCATTAAGAAACACATATCGACCAGAAGAAGTAAAATTGACCACGTACATTATGTCATATAAATCTTTGTTCTTCGAATAGTAGACGAAATGAGAACGGTTAGACATAAGTGAGACCATCTTGCCCCAATCTGTCTAAAGTTGATAAATCGTGATAATATGACATTTGGTGCAAGTTTTACAGGAACACAAAAGAAATCATTCCTAATGAAAACACATGGGTCCAGATCCCGACAGAACTGGACAAGTATGAGTACGTACTTGTGGTTTGAACAGCTGGTATTCGCATTCGTATTCAAGCACGATATTTATGTTCCACATAAACCTCTTCTCTCAATAGAAGAACCTAAATCTTTTCTTGTATCTAATTTATTTCCGTAATTTTAATTAAAAAGATTTTATCAAAAATTAATTTTGAAGATTTAGGAATATATTTTTACGGTTTCAAAAGTCCAGAAATAATACTCACCTGAGTCTTTTATTACGTCTGGTATATCGTTCCTCCAAGGGAATCTTCTATCGTGGGACAAGGTTTACTTAAGAGTCCATACTCATACTTATTCATTAACCGTAGTTATTTTTGGGACGCAAATATAGTTTATAAAACACGAGATAAATGTCGTTCTCTTGAAAAAGGAATAGAAACTAATCTCGACACTAGATGTTAAGATAGTTAATTAAAAATTGGATAAATTGATGACAGCATCTTTTGACGATCTGTAGCTTTCGCCAGTAGAAAGAAGTAATAAGATAATATTAATCCATATAAAACCAAATAAAGTTTCGTAAACTCAATAGGATTATTTTTAAAAAAACACCTTGAATAGATAATCAATTAAAGAGATTTTTCTGTTTTATCTATGGATTACTACAAAATATTTCATTGAACGATTGTACAAGGTTACTATGTTGATCTTTATTTTGTCATTAAAAAAAAATCATATTTAAATATTGTTCATTATTAGAAGACCGTCGCTCGTCTGACCGATCTACCTATAAAAATAGTAAACATGATGCTATGATATATGAGACCGAAAGGTTTTTATCTATTTCTATGACTACACGTTTCAGGTCATTAAGATGCGTTATTTTCGATGTATTCTATTTTAAAAACTGATTTTTGATTAAATCTAGTGTCAATATGAAAAGATAAAAATTACGTTCGTTTTAGAAAATTTAATTTTGATATTGTTCATCGACATATATTATTTGGTTTATCTATTTGAATATATGCGATAATTTGTGTTCATCTCTTTGGAAGTCAATGGAGACACATATATACGAAGAAAAAAAAGGAAAAACAAGCAAGAATAAAGAAACTCACAAAGATAACGAAGCAAAAGAGTTGCTAAATGAAAAAAACAAAAAAAAAAAGAAAAGAAATTTGATGACAATAAACAAAAGAAAAAAATATCAATTGTTATTTTTAACTTTTGATGCAATTCATATATAAGATTTGCTTTTTTAGTTTTATTGTCGTATGAATATATAATTCTCATATATATGTTCTAAATATCATTCTGATTCTTTTTTTTTCTCCGTACTACTATGAATAAATTATCAATATAAATAATTTCTGTGTATGTATATATGATAAACGACAACGAGTGTGATAGAGAAAACAAACAAGCAAAAAAAAAAAAATCATTATCATGGGGTACAAGAGAGAGAAAAAAACACGAACAGGCCATCAGCCGGGTACGGAGTGAATAGATAGAAAAAAAAATAATAATAAGACTTCTTTTTTTGTGTTTTGTTTTATTTTGTTTATATGCATGTGATCAACTGTTTAACTTAACGATCGACTTCCATCATCGACACCTGATGTTGTTGAATATGGCATATACATTCCATTTGTTAGCATATGTTGTGATTGTTGTTGTTGTTGTTGTTGTGACCAACGAGAATTTGCCATGAGATTATTTCCTGAGGATAATGGAGAAGACCCCTGGGATTGCATAGTCGTAGACCATTGTGATGGTGTTGTATCAAGCTTATTACCAAGTGATATAATAGCTGGATCTGTCCATGGTAAATTTATCCATCGATCATTTGATGGTACTAATATTTAAACAAAAAACAAAATACAATTATTAAGACATTTCATCTGGAATTTAAATGTGAAAAATGATTTAGCTACTGTAGCTAATCACAGAGAGAGATTGATTTATTCTATGTATTTTGAGGGTAGATTATCTAATCCTATACAAATGCAATAAGAAAGTAGTTGATATATTATAACGAGACATTATTCATATACAACCTTTGATCGTATGTCAATAGAATGTGTCAAGGTCTATAAGGAAGAGATTAAACTTTGTTAAGACATCTCTCACGATTAGTAATGATCGTTGAGTAGCTCATATCACGGTTTGTAATGCTTTCTGTCTAGCGTCTACTACGAACTGTGAAAAGTCAAAATCTTTCACTCTTAAGATTGTGTTTCATGAAAAAACACATAGGTATTTATTTATCTTACAATTATTTGTGGTCACTGTACTATTAGATGAATAAGTATTATTTATTGCTTGAGAATATTGTGACGATGGTGATGGTTGTGTATGTGGAAGTCGTTGTTGTTGAATCTGATTTGAAAAATCTAAACGATTTGATATCTGTGATCCATATGGTTGTTGATTGCCATTCCAAATTTGTCGAGGTGATGATCCGTCTAAAATTTAATTTGAAAAATGAATACATATAAACACTTGTAATTATTAATAGAACTGATTAAGAATTTTAATAAATGTAAAGACTATAGTTTTTGTAAAGTAATATGAATTTCAAAGTTTAATTTAATATAACAAAAATATTAGTGATTTGTATTATTATTGACTCCATGGATAAATATAAGTCAAGAATTTTCTACGAATTATCAAAGAGAAAATAAATATTTACTAAATGGAAGTGGATATCTTTGTTGTCTTTGTGGTGTTGTTGGTTGTTCTGAATAATGATGATACTGTTGTTGCTGTGGTGGTTGATGTTGTTGTTGTTGTTGTTGCATCATCCAAGATGAATTGATTTGTCCTATTGTTGGATTATTTGTTGTTGAAATAAATTGATTTGATGAAAATCCATATGAATTTGATGTTGGACGATATGATAGAGATGTTTGTGATGATAATGGTCGTCGTTCGTCTTCAATATCAGATGCAAGTGCTGACATAAATAAACTACATGGATCGAAACCTTAAGAAAAAATTCGAAATGAATATTTTCAATTATAAAAAAAAAAGAACCGTATTTACCTAGTTCGTCATTTTCTTGTGTTTGTGAGTAAGATGTATTATCAAGACTACTTTCTAAGAAAACAAAAAAAAAAAAAAGAAAAATCTTATGAAAATAATGTACTTAGGGTATAGTAAAAGTAGTGATAAAATTATTTTAATTCCTTACGATTCTTTAACTAATATTTATATAATAAAATCTCGATAAGATCTGTTTGTTATGATATGTGATGGGGATATTAGATCAGACGTTGCCTTCGATATATATCCTCTAATACCTAGTCATCAATACATCTTAAGGTATACCAAAAAAAGTGACGACGATAGAATAAAAAAGAAATATAGCAACAAGTTCATAAAGTTATTATTTTATTTAATGTTCAAAATAATCGTTCTGGTTATTCACAATCAATTAGATATATATAATGTTGGCGTGAATACTGACAGTGAGTCATCAAAGGAGTGTTCACTGAAGTACAGACTTGTGTAGTCAGTCAGCACTAACTACAATAGTGAAAGAAATTCTTTAGATATCCCTTTTGATTTCAATGGTTTTTTTTTGCTTATGAATACTACACAGCATTCTAGCAAAAACCTTTAAAAGATTTGACTAAGCTATCGAATTCTTAATACGCAAGGCGTCATGTTTTTTGAAAACTCGTAGTTCTGAAGTTTGTGTATAGAGAAAACTGGATTAGACTAACACCGATTAAAAAACTCAAAAGTAATCCTTCGGCATATGAAGCTTCCAAAAAATACATATTACTATCCATTGAAAAGGATCTATAGCTTGATATTTTCATATCTCGAAAAGATTTTAATGAAAATTAGTCTAAGGTATGGGTGTAAGAGGTAGATTAGGAGAACGTCAACACCTACGCTCTTATTCCCATCGTATATCATAATAAACAATTATCAGAAAAGATGTAGCGCATTTTTTTTTCAATATTAAATTAGAGAGAGAGAGAAAGTTTCTTAAAAACTTTTTATAATGACTTCAAATATCTTCATGATTAATATTTTTGTATATTTCTAAAATATTTTATTTTACCTATTAATCTCTTTTCAATATCTCTTAAATCATGATCAATACCATTAATTAATGGTCGTTGTAATTGTTGAGTATTTTCATTTTTACCAAATAAAATTGAATGTATAGATGGACTATTTGAACTAAATAATTTATATTCTGGTAATTGATCAAAAACTTTCACTGTATTATTCATTGTTGTTTCATTTGTTTGAATATCTTTTGATGGATTTAATATATTTGTTACAGATGATTTATTTATTAATTGAGATGATGATACGAGATTATTATTATTATTAATATTATTTTTAGGATAAAAATTTACGGATTCATCTGGCCAATTAGTTGATGGTGATATATTATATGTTGGAATTTGTGTTCGTAGAGATGGATCATGTTCAGATGATGTTTGAGATGATGTTGATGATATATCAGAATCACCATTTAGAGTATCACCATTCATAGCAGTTGTACTAGTGAGAGAAAAAAAAACAAGATTCCTTATTTTAAGTTTAATATCAAAAGAATATTTATTATTTTAACAAAAATAGAAGAAATATTCTAATAACTATTTTCGAATATATTTATTTATCGATTACATTTGGAACTTCATTACAGTTTTCTTTTTATTTTTGTTGTCTTATGTTGCTCAATAGATTTGTTTATTGTAAATTGTTATAGTTGAAAGTCTCTGAAGACGCAAGTGTTTTTTGTTTTATTTTTTCCAATATTTGCGTCCAAGTTAGAAATAATCTAATTTAATTTTAATCGCTACTACATTGTTTTCTTTTTTCGGAGAATTTCAATCATATTCATCACACTATATTTTCAGTATTTACCTAGTAAATGTATCATTATGATATCCATTCAATGTATGATGATTTGACGTAGTAGTAATATTATTATTATTATTTGTTTCATCACCAGATTCTAAATCTGAATGTCCATTGAGTATATTTGACGTTTGTATTGTTGTATTTGAATCATTCGTTGTTGTTAATAATGGTGTTGGTCCTTTTCGTTTTTGTGATGATTCACTTTTGTTTCTATATCAACCAGAAAAAAAAAACTATTTCTAACAAAAAAAAAAGAGAGAAACAAAAAATTTTACCCATTAACTGTTGTTCGTCCAGTTTTTGGTGTATCTGATATTGTTTTATTCGTATACTGTTCCATCAGTTTTCGTTCATATTCAAGATGAAGACTAGACAATATAACAAAGGTTGATCTTTTGTAAAACACAATGTAACAAGAGTATTGAAGAATAGGGCTGAAAATTTGGACTCTCACCTAGTCGTGATAGATGCCAATCCAGAATTCTCAATTAGAAGAATGAGACTTCTTAATACTCTTTATTAATCTTTTTTACAGTTTTCATGGTAACTTTGAACAGCAACCGGATTTCGAAAGATCATTTGTCTTTCTCTGGCAGAAAGTAAAATAAAAATAAAAAAAGCAATGCTATTGTAAAGTGAATAGGATTGGAGCAGGCTTCAGTGACTTTCTATCGACTTATTAGTCCCTTCCGTTCCTAAAAAAAATATAAATAACCCTGTACGGTAGTATTCACGATCCAGCTGACTTTGTCGAAGTTATTATTAAATAATATCATATCAAAGATTACAAAATTGGGGTTCGCCGTATTTTCTATGATTTTTTCTTAAAAAGTTAAAACTACAACAAAAACCGTAGCCTTTTTTCAGTTTCTGTACTACTTGTAACTTAAGGTCCTATGAAATGCGACGAATCCCCATTTTGTTTTCTTTAAAACAGTGTCGTCAAAAAAATAATAATCTTTTGAGACATAAAATCATGCCATCATTGTTCTATAAGTTATTTAAGATCGCTATTTGTATTGAAGCTAAATACTTAAAATTATATATAACGTGGTTAAACGTTTTTTTCACTACCTTACTTTCATTTTTGCATTTCTGGAAAATTAAGTAAATATATGATGAAGAAATATGTCCCACGATAGATAGAATAAAGTAATCTCCCTGTGATTAGCAGTTATATCGTATGTTACATTTGAATCCCACAGGAATTTTATTAACAGCCTTTTAGATATTAAATTTTATCATAATTTTATTTACCCTTGTTGCATTTGTTCTTTCGTAAAACTTGCTAATGGATCGCCTAATTCATGTAAATAAAGGCAATCAGCTTTTTGACATGTTGCACCTTTTAAATATCGACTACAATATTTTGTTGTACCTAATGTTGCTTTTAATGTTCGACCATCAACATGATAATTACAAAGAGATTGTATAGCTCGTAAAGCTTCGTCTGAACGTGAATATGTTATATATACACATATAGAATTTAATTGTCCATTGTGTGCTGGTGATGTAACTAATTTAACTATTTTACCATATTTACCAAAATGATCATTGCGTCTTAATAATTCAGTATCAGCTAAACGCGATGGAAGACCATTAACAAATACAAGATTACGTTGAACAACTCTAGAGGATAACAAAAATAAAAATAATTTTCAGTAAAAAAAAAAATACAAAGAATCTTTTTAATACCGAAGATTAGCTAAATGTTTTCGACTTTCGGTTATTTTTGGTTTTTTATTTGATTCTTTTAATTTTCTATCACGTTTTACTTGTTGAATTCTAGAATAATAACCTTAAAAAATTCAAAAAAAAAAAAAAACAAAAAATTGAAATTTACTCTTCTTCAGTTAATGGTTTAAATTGTGCCGGATTTTCACTGTATGGCTAAAAAAAAGAGACAGAAAAAGGAATAATTTATAAGATTTTTCTTTTTTGCATAAAATATTTATGTACAGCTTCATTTTTCTAGGAGAAAAAAAACCAAATACAAAGAAAATTTTGTTTTTTTTTTGTCTAAACTAATAAAACCATAACAATCTATTGATCATAAACATAACAACTACGAAATAAACTTTTTATATTTCGATTGAATAAAATTCAAATTTTTTCTCACAGTTAGAGATACTTTTGTTTTACGAAATATTTGTTTCAATTTTTATAAAGAAATATTTACAAACAGAAATCAAAGATTATTTTTATAGAATTGAAATTATCGATGACCACATCGTGACAAAACACCAAATAATAATTACACGTTCAATTCATTCAATCAACTCACCATTGAACTATGCCCTTTTGATCATGACTGAACAACGAAACTCATTGTATTGATACATGTCGTTATTAAACAACATATCATCGGAAAAGATTGATGTCTTAATATATGCGATAATCCAATTAGAGTTTTGAATATATTTCAATAAATCACAGTATATAAGAAAATTCGATATAAAAACAATTCGTTCGTTAAATACATAAAAATTTTATTTTATTTTTGTTCATCATTATTCAAAGTTTGTTCCGTTCTGTTTTTTTGGATTATCTAATCATTCATTTTTTTTTTCTCGTTCTTTCTGAAATATGACTCATAATAGTTTATCTTACTTTTCGACATGCTGGACATAAACCATTTTCATCTGTTCGTATACGATGCCAACAAAATCGACAAATCTAAAACATTCGAACTTATTCATTAAATATTTTTGTTTTTTCGATAAAATTGTTTCTACCTGATAACAACATGTACATGGAAAAAAGGTTAAATCATCAGCTTCGAGAACTTCCAAACATAATGGACACTAGAATAATAATAAAAAAAAAAAGGCGACGACAAATGTTTAATACAAATAAATATAAGACAATTTTGTTTGTTTTACTTCAGATGACTCTTGGTCACTGTCCATGATAGATGTCTATAGAAAATATTGTTTTTTTTATTATAGTGAATTATTCTATCTATAAGATATGATCATGTAAATTGCACTGTTGTGCTACTATTTCTCAACAAAAATGTAATCAAAGGAAAGAAAAAAAAAGACTAACTAATTCTGTTCCTCCTCGCGTCATTTTTTTTTGTTCTCATTGATCAATTAATTGGTAATATAGATTGACCTATCAAATTATATTACTACAAAAAAAAATTTTTTATTCATTAAATTAAACGTTTTTTAATAGTAAAATAAGTAAAATAAACTTTGTTCAAATAAAATATTAAAATAAAATGCTATATATTAATAGTGACATCTATTATAAATTCAAAATTAAGTTACTTTATAAAAAAAAAAAAGAATCTTTTAGTAGTTTTTATTAATAATGCAAAAATTCTCTCGAATAAAATATATTCAACTGTAAAATAACGCATGTGATATTAACTAGCGCGAGCAAGATTCTTTGTCCTAATTAAGTTCTTTGTCTCTTGAAATCGTTTTTTTTTGCTTGCTACGTCTTTGCCCATGTTGTATTCCAGTATTCGATAAAATGGAATTGGCAAATCCTAATAAAGAAATTGCCAGTTGTGTTAAAGCTGCTGTTCGGTAAGAAAATCTAATACATATATATATAAAGATAAACGAAGATAAAATTTTCTCTCAGTGTTCGTCCATTATCAAATAATGAACAACAAGATCTATGTCAAACATGTGTTGATGTACAACGAACAACAAATGAGATTATTTTAGCTAATAGTACAGCTTTTACATTTGATCATGTTTTTTTATCAGAAATCAGTCAAGAAGATCTCTATCGTGAATGTATTTATGATATGATAGAAGGATGTTTTCAAGGTTATAGTGCATCTATACTTGCCTATGGTCAAACTGGTTCTGGGTATTTGATTATATAACGAAGAAAAATTTTTTCGAAAGATTTTATTTTATTATTTATATAGAAAAACTTTTACTATGGGTAGTGGAATTGAATATATGGATCCTTCGAAAGAAGGTATTTTACCTCGTGCCATTATGCATATATTTCAAAGATGTGCAAATTATGAACGTGAAGCAGAATTAAAAGGTATTACACTTGCAAAATGTGTAGTTTCATGTCAATTTATTGAAGTAAATATCAATAGAATTTATCGAATTTTTTTTTTTGGTTTTTATTATTTGTTTTTTTTTTTTTGTTCATAAAATAGATTTATAATGAAAATATTTATGATTTATTTAATAAAGAAAATATTGATTTTCGTTCACAAAAAAATATTGATAAACATGTCGTATTTGAAAATAGTAATGGAGAAATAGCAGTGACAAATATTACAACAAGATTTGTTACTACGGCACAAGAGGTTTGTTATTTTAATTTTATTAAAAGAATACCAGTAACTAATAGTGTTAGTAATCTATATAATGATTACCATCACTCACACTAAATTGGATGAATTTAAATTTTTTTCTGAGAAGCGAACACCTATTTTATGAAGCACAGATACGCAGTATATGATTCAATAGCTATAAACTCCAAAGAAAAGCCAATCAGTTTTTTAGCGAAGCACAGCTCTTCACACTGGAGAGTGTGGATTAGGCGATAATCAACAGACCTATATCCTCTCGAGCTACAGTTGTAAAAAAGATATCAGAACAATGAGTCTCTTGTCAAGCACCATTTCGTACTGAAAAGCGAAAGTAGTCTTTCTCTTGTTTTCTGCTTTGAAACCACTGTACATCTGTTTTTATCTCTTCCAGGCCATGTAGTTGAGTAGAGTACGACTTTGAAAATTAACGTTTTATAGAAGTATAAACATCATTGCTAATAGTGCAATTCATATAAAATTTTAAAAATGTGTTTTAAATGTTGATGTCTTATAGTAATGCACGGGTACAAAAAAGTTGTGTCCAAGCAATACTCTATAGCGAACTACACTAATATGCTAGAATTGAGCTGTCGGAAACTTAGAACTACGAGAATATTAGATATTCAATTATTCAACTCATATGAGAAGAACTAATCACTAGACTTCATTGTCAAAAAAATTGAAGTTATCACATCTTTAATTTCTATATAAAGAATAAATGTTTTATCTAATATTTCTATTTTCTAGACACTTGATTGTTTAAGAGAAGGTGCTCTTTGTCGAACAACAGCATCAACACGTATGAACAGTGTATCAAGTCGATCACATGCCATATTTACTGTAAATTTACAATTTGAACGTGTTGTTTCATCAGTATATATAATTAAAATAAATGAAAATAAAAATTTTTTCTAATATTTATTTCTTTAATTTATATATTTAGACATCAGATACAAATATACGTGAACAAATTCGTGCTAAAATTCATTTTGTTGATTTAGCTGGATCAGAAAGTTTAAAACGAACAGGTGCAACAGGTCAACGTGCTAAAGAAGGAATTAGTATTAATAGTGGTTTGGTATATTAAGATAAATATTTTGTTTTCTTTTAATTATTTAATTATTATTAGCTTGTTCTCGGTAATGTGATATCAATCTTAGGTGATCCAATGAAAAAAGGAGCACATGTACCATATCGTGATTCAAAATTAACTCGTTTATTACAAGATTCATTAGGTGGCAATAGGTAAATTTAAAATATTGATTATTTACAAAAAAAAACAAACTTTTGTCTTTTTTTTTTAGTCGAACATTAATGATAGCTTGTATATCACCAGTTGATCGTGATTTTTCTGAAACAAAAAGTACACTTAATTATGCTCAACGTGCACGTAATATTCGTAATCGTGTTAAAGTAAATCAAGATAAACATAGTCGACAAATCATACAATTACAAATGGAAATCGAACGATTACGTGCATTAGTTGATAAAAATGAACATTTATCATCAGTAAGAAAAAGAATAAAAATACATAATGATCTAATCTGATTCATTTTCAGTTTCATTTCATTCATAAGTAAAATTTTATGCAAAATCTTTTGATAAATAAATAAAGATCTAGATACAGTTTTGCTCAAAAATTATTCGTAGTCATGTTTGTATGATTAAATACATGATTCATAGTGACTTTTAAAAGCATTCCCATACAAAGACATTTCCAATTGAAAACTATATCCATCGGAAAAGATAAACTAGATCTGCATCCTTCAGAAATCACTTTATTTTGTTACTAATGAGATTTCAAATAAAATTCGACACGAAAGGAAACTGAAGATGATCTAATAATAATCTTTATGCGCCTCTCTCTCTCTCCAATAAATACAAAAATACAATTTTTCAGAGTGAATTCGATCAAACGAGTAATAGTGCATTAAATCAAGAACTTGAACGTATACGTTCATATATATATACAATACAACGTTCAATAAATGAAACAAATATGGTATCACAAACATTAAAAAATGAACTAGAAACTGTTCGTGATCATCAACAAATAAATGATACAACATTTGATTATAATCAAGCATTAAATCAATGTTTATTAAAAAGTGATGAAATTCAGTAAGATAATATGAAATTTGTTTTAATTTGATTTAATAAGATTTATAAATTATTAGATCTCGATTATCACGTATGAATGATGTTAGTAGTATACTTCGTAAACGTAGTCCAATATCAAATCGTCGAAAAAGTCGTTTATCAACAAGTAAGTAAAGAGTAATTCTAATAATCTAATAGAGAAATTTTTTTATGTATTCGAAAATGACATTTAAGATTTAATAAAAGAATTGAAGAATATAAAACTTTATAATGAGTAGATCAGTCATTACTGAGAATTGAATTTCCAACCGATTAAATTTTCATTATATATTCTAAAGAATAGAATGTTCTCGGAATATTTTCACGAGTTTCATATATATCAAACTTGCTACCCTTATTCACCGAATAGAGACACTTCTATCTTTCCTAAATTTTGTATACTTTCGAATAAAGAAATAAAATTTGATAGAATAACATAATAACAAAAGAAAAACTTTACGAAATCATAATTAATTTGAATTATATTCGAAAGAGTTAAAATCTCATATTGCGTATTTAACATTTATAAGTAACAATTAAAAAAAAGCAAGGAGTTTATTGTTTTTTTTTCCTTCAATATGTCGCAAATCGTTTTCAAAATTATACGAAAATAATTTATTATTTTGAATATCGATTCAATTAATTTAGGATCCGTTTCAATTGATCAAACATTATCAAATGAATTTAATCAAAATTCAATAGGTTCAGATGAATTACAACCATGTATTGAAGATATTCGTCATGAAATTGATCGTCTTCGACGTGAAGAACAATTACTTCGTGAAAAGTTTGTTTTGAAAATAAAATAATTTCATTATTATTAATTAATTATTTTTTAGTGGTTCAGCTAAATCAAATCGTATTGATTTTAGTACAATTCCAGGTTCACCTCAAGAACTACATGAAATTCCTAAAAAACGTAAAATTGAAGCTCTTTATTCTCTATCAACAAATCCATCAACAGAAACAATTGATAGTCGTTCAAATATGCCAATTATTGAAGAACAAGAACATATTATTAATAGTGAAGATGATGATGAACAAGTACAAACAGCTATTGATGATGATGCTCAAAGTGAATGTAAGTATTATCCTTTCAAACAACCACGACAGAGATCGTTACGAACTGTAATCGATGCTTTAATAATATATGTCCTAGAATCAATAGAATAAAGCAATCTCTTTATGATAAACAATACATATTTTACATTTTAATTTTCAAGAGATTTACTAACATTCTTTTTTTTGTTAAGCTGATGTACAAGAAGAAAAACTATTAATAATAACAACAGAAATAAATGCAAAACAAAAATGTCTTGAAATGCTTGAAAATGCACGTAAACGTAGTGAACTTATACGACAACGATATGAAGAACGTATAAAATTACTTTCTGAACGTATACATAATGCTGAAGATGAAAAACAAGTTGCTGTAACAAAATTAAGTATGTTTATTTATTAATAATTTTGTAAATATTTTTTGTTTCTTCAAAAAAAAAAAAAAAAAAAAAACAAAATTTAGATACCATTGGACGTGATCAACAAAATATTGAAGAATTAAAATTAGCTAGACGTGATTATGAAGAAAAAATTCGTCGATTAGAAATTGAAAATAATGAATTATCAACATTACGTGCACAATATGCTATTTGTTTAAAAGATGGTGAATATTATAGAAAAGAATTATCTAAACATACAAATGAATTAAAAGATTTACGTAAAATAAAAGTTCAATTAACACGTGAATTACGTCAAGAATTTACACGACATAAACAAGCTGAACAAGCAAAAGCAAGAGAAATTGCTACACTTAAACGAGTATATATTTCATATACAAAAAAAAAATTCTGTATATTTGTTTTTATTTTATAGACACAAATGCAAAAAGATAATGAAATTCGAACATTACGTGCTCAACATAAACAAAAAGAAATGATTCTTAAACGTAAACAACAAGAGGTAAAATATACTGATAGTTTTATTGATATAAAAATCAGGTATTCACAATCCATACTATCTAATCTAGCATGTATCACTCTTAAGCGGAGCACAATATAAAAAAAATTCGGAATGTATGAATGTAGATCTAGTACATTCAATAGAATTAAACTTCTTTGCTATTTTTATAGAGCTAATAAAATTTTTCTTAAATCTAATTCTAGCGTCAATCGACATTGTTTTCTAATGTTATGGCTTTTGAGTACTGTTATTTTAACGTCACATTTAATGAAATTTCTAGATTGAAATGAACAGTAAAGAGAAATCGACTAAATTCTAGAAAGAAAAAGTTTTCTAAGGATCTTTCAAAGAAATCACGAATGTTGAAAAACATTGAGGTGAGTTTTTGCTTAGAATTAACTCTTTCGAAGTTATGTTTTATGGAATTTTCATAAACATGAAAATTAATTTTTTTTTGTATTCAATGAAAACGAGATTATTGTTATTTATGAATTCGATATATAATATTCGTTATGCATATTTATTTTTATTGAACAAATATGAAGGAATAGTTTGAATTTATCTTTTGATGAGACGTATAACAAACCGATTCATCTAAATTGTAAGTGGACGGACATAATCGAAGGCACATGGAAAAATTTTTCTAATCCTTTCACTAAAGAAATAAAATAGTCTCGTCTTGTATAAGACAGTGATACTGTTTTCCAAGCCTATCGCTTGAGACACACTCTATCTATAGAATGTGTTGCGTGATCCACTTCGATCTAGTTCTGATAAAAGACATGCAAGTCAAACTTTTTCTATAAAGATGATAGATCATTGAACAGTAAATCTTCATGTTTCATCATAACTTAAAATATAATTGATTTTTAAAATAAATTTACAAATAAAAGCTGTTAGCACAATACTTGCGGAATTAAAATGCATCTTTTGTTGCTAATCAAAGAGAGATTATTTTATACTATTTATTTTGGAATACATTTCTTCATACTTAATTCTTTAGAAATGCGATAAGAAAGTAACTCATATAAACTTTCGTCACGGTCTGTGATTAGAAAGAGACGTTATTGAGAATATCTGTGATAGTCGTGAAAGATTCTACCGTATGCATTTGAAAACTTGTTTTTTTTTTTGACAAAATCTTATTTTTCAGGTACATTTATTACGACGTCAAATGCGTTCAGGTAAAGTGCGTGCAACAACAAAAGAGATGAGTGCACATTATACTGCTATTCAACAAGGCGTATGTTCAATAGAATCTTTTCTATTCTTTTTTTCTTCTTATTTCATGTGAAATATTTATAGATTACAAATGCAATTCGTCGTCGAAAACTTATTGCTGGTATTAATCGTGATATGAGTACATTAATTGAAAATCGTGAATGTGTGAGTCGTAAACGTGAACGGTATTGTAAACGATTAAGTAATGCTATTGTTAATAGTACAACTAATACACAACAATCTGAAGATCCAACATGTAAACCATTACGTGAATCAATAACAAAATTAGAAAGTACAATAGCATATCTTAATTCTGAAATTTCATCATGTCAACAAGTACTAATGGTTTATGATGATGAAGAACAAACACATGAATTAATACAAGGACCAGATCCACAATTAATTGTTGATTGTGTTACAGATATTGATGAACTTCGATATTTATTAACAAAACTTATTGAACAAACTATTGAAAAAGTTTGTTTTAAAAAAAATTAAATTTTTCGTTTTTATTTTGTTTTTATTTTTTTTACAAAGGGTTTCGAAGCTGATGAAGCAAATGAATTAATGTCTTATGTTGATTTAGTTGAAACAATTCTTGTTAAAAAAGAAGATAGTAAACCTACCGCTACACGTATTAGAAAAGCTATTGCAAATACTAGTCAAGATGATTCAATGGATACAACACCTATTCCAGAAGAATTACCAGCATCAACAACAGTTATACTTCGACCATTATGTAATTCTCCAAATTTATCTAATTATCAAACCGAACCATTATGTGCTGACTAAAATTTTTTCATTTATCTTCTGTCTCATATATATATATATATCTTCTTATTTGTTCTTTTCTTTTTGTCCCTTTCTTATTTATGTATGTTGATGGATGTTCAAGAAAATAGTATAAACATAATTTCATCATATACGACTTTGTGTATATTATTTGTTAAACTAACTTAGCATATCATTTTATTGAAATGAGGAGATAATGTTTATTAGATTTTTTTTTCTTTAAGTTAATAAAGAACCAATATATGGATATAGTTTGTAATTTCACTTCAGCGACGACTATATATATAGTCTTTGTCAAAATTATTCAACAGGATTTTCTTCGCTAATGAGGAAATGCCTACAAGAAATCTGATCGCTTTTTGAATTGAGATTGTACTCAAATAGTAAGTAGAGTTAAAACCTAAGATGGTTCAGTTGTGTAAATCTTCGTTCTTTAGATATTGAATCTGTACTAAAATTTTTTAAATGAAACCTGTTGTTGTTTCCAGGTTACCATGGAGATCGAATTGTAAGTTTTCACTTGAAACTTTGCATCAAAGTTCTCCTAATGATATTAGGTTATTGCAAAATTTTTAAGTCAAAACTCACAATTCGATGTTCGTGCTGACCTGAAAAGAATAACAGACTTCACGTAAAACATTCAGGAAAAAATCGATATGTCAGGAGATAAGGTTTCAAACAACCGAACCAACTTAGGCTTTGACACTACTTCCCGCAGTTTATCATTTGAGATAGTCTCGATCCAAAAATGGTTTTCTTGTAAGAAGAATACAAATAGTGAAGATGAAAATGATTGCTAATTTCTAAGAATATGGTTTCTGAAAAATCCGCAAAACAAATTTATTCAACTCCTAGAATTGATGATTACAATACGGTTTGACTTACACAGAATTACGAAACAAATAACTCTCTACAAATTACAACACGTTACAGTTCTCTGCGACATTTATTTTTGCCAAGGTACATCAACTTTACGGAAGGCAATAAAGTCGCTTTCTGTCCACTAATTTTTCTGGAAATATCTTTTTTGTGTGTTTTGTAATATTGATGCATCTTGATCGAAAAAACGTCTTACAGAGCTGGAAGGCATTTTCATTTCGTAGATCGGTATTTGTTCTATCATCCTGGTCAACTCAAATAGAATCGTGACTGCCAATCCTAGGAGGTAAAAACCTCAATTTCGTAGTTTTTCAGAGATCCTATTCCCGGTAAGTTAGCAATCATTTTCATCGTGAAAAATTCTTGTTCTAAATAAAATTCTCTACACAAAATACCAAAGAATAAATGCATGTGATGTCTTTCTTTTTAATTGTTACGTTGAATTAATTTCGAATTGATTTCATGAAGCATCATTTAATGTTGTCATAATACATATTGAAAATTAGATGATAAGAGATAATAATGAAAATTGTATATATATATATATAACAATATTCTTCTTATTATCGTATTTTCAGTTCATTGGTGTTTTCATTTCAGTATTTATACGTAATACGAACTGTTAAAATTACTTTAAAACGATCAAAAAGTTTACCTGAATCATCTCTTTCAATGATAGATTCTTTTTTTAGATTGCTATTATTCGTTCTCTTTTCATCGCAAGTTTTTGTTATTGAGAAACCGAAACTATTGGTCTTAGAAGCATTTCATCTAATAGATCTTCAAGTATGAGCAGGATTGTCGATTGAATCCAGTTCCTCCTACAATAGGTGGCCTGCTATCAGGCTTATTTTTAACTCTCTTTCTACGAGAGAAAGGCAAATGTGTTTTATAATCCGGCTTCGGTTCAAATTTAGTACGAAGCTGTAAAAAATTGACAAAAAATCAGCCATTTGAGGAGATTAATAACAGTAGTTACATCGCGTTTCATATTGTAATCCCATAGGAATAATGTTAAAAGATTTTATGAAAAGAAAAATATGTTCGTATTTGTTGATGAGATATTTTTGATCGTTCGTTTTTATCCTGTTTTTTCATATCACGGATGAGAGATTTTGTATGATCAATGGACTGTGACCAAGAGACATAGGTCAAATTGAACACAGAAGCTTAACGCTTTTTTTTCCTCTTCATATTGGGTAAATACAAACGTTTACTTAGTGTTTTAATCAAAAATGGTACAGTATTTTGAAAAAAAGCAAAATAAATTTTCAAAATATAAAAAAATTGATTAAAATTTTAGCGTGAATGCATTAGTGTTCATGTTGGTCAAGCTGGTGTACAAATTGGAAATGCTTGTTGGGAATTGTAAGAAATATTCATTAATAATATTTCTTATTGTTGTTTCTTTTTTTGATAACAATAAATAAAATAGATATTGTCTTGAACATGGTATTGATTCAGATGGACAAATGATAAAAAAAGGAAAAAATGATAAAAATGATTCATTTGATACATTTTTTCATCATACAGGTAATCGTTATGTTCCACGTGCTGTTTTTGTCGATCTTGAAGAATCTGTTATTGATGTTATTCGAACTGGTCCTTATAAATCTCTTTGTAAGATTAAAATAAAATAATTCATCATAGTAAATTATATCTTTAGATCATCCTGAACAATTAATATCTGATAAAGAAGATGCAGCTAATAATTATGCACGTGGTCATTATACAATTGGAAAACAAATAATTGATCTTGTACTTGATCGTCTTCGAAAATTATCTGATCAATGTAAAATTTCATAAGTAAACTTATTAATTAATTATTATCGTTTTTTTTATAGGTGATGGTTTACAAGGTTTTTTAATATTTCATTCATTTGGAGGTAAGTTTAGAACAAGAAAAAACAAACACTGATTCAAGTCATTCCCTTACAAAAGTCAACTTTTGTCCAAAAAATTGAAATTGAGATAATAGCTGGTGGTGTGACTTTTCATCAACCACATGATTTTTTATTTAGTACGTCATTTTTTGCCAATAGGTTTTAATGATTTTCATTACTTGTTGTTTAAAAACTTCATTATAACCTAACCTTGTTTTTATTTAACGAGCACATGAAGCTGCACTCTCGATTTTTCCTAATTAAACTCTTTTTTTTTACTATTACAGTGGCTTTAAAAATTGATGGTCTAGACTTAATTTTAGTTTTTTTTCCATAGTAGTAACTTGTATAAAGAATCCAAGTAGTGGTTCGAATAAAGAAAATTGTTTCAAACAAGAACTTCAGCAAAATAAAACTTTCACAATATTCTCAAATTTCACGATCTCTAGAAAATACAAAACCTAATTTTCCAGCACCCGAAACTCGGAAGTAAAAGATTTACTTTTGTCTCCACAAAATGACACATCCCCGAGTGCTTCACTACATATAAAACTTTGAGAGAGCTCGAAAAGTGCTTTTTGTGTAGTTTTCTCTTAGGGGATAACGAAAAACACGTGGATAGACGTTTCTTGGCGTCAATGTAGTGACGTCAAAAAATGTAGTATAGAACTAAAGGATGTCTCGTGTTTTATCAAATCAGTATTTGAATTCTTTATGCGAGTTACCATTACGAGAAAAAGGTCGAAATTAAATATATGCGGTCAATTTTTAAAGCTACTGCATATTACAAAAAACAATTCTATTAATAAGTAATCATTTTTTGAAAACTTTCCGAGGTACTACTGAACTTGTTATTCATTTTCTCGGTATAAAAAAATTAAGAATTCAGCATCTATAGAGAAAAATATCATTCTTTTGTAGAATATTAAAAAAATAGCTAATAAATCATCTATGACCTAAAACTAGAAAGTTCGTCCATCAGTTTATAACAAAAGATTTCGTCCTAAAACAATGATTATTCTTCTGATGCTAAGCGTTTTCTGAAGAGTTGCCTTTAGTAAACGCGTTGTCGCCACTTTTTTTCACTAATCCAATATCGATGAAACTTTTAGAAAATGCTCTTTTCTATCTGAGATACACACTCAGTCAGCGCAAAGATGCACAAATACTTTCGGACTGAGATACAGGCTTTTCATGAATTTTTTTATCACGGAAGCATTTTGAAATAAAAATACACATATATTTGGAATCAGGTTAAAAGATTGTATATCAGATGTATCATTTGTTAATTTTCAACATAAAAAGATTTCTCATAGAAGCTCAAGGTAAGAATTCCCTTCATTGATTTGCCATCGCAAATAGTCTTTTTTCATCAAACTTATTTTTGAGTACAAACAGTTAATATTTCTAAGAAAAAAATTCATTTTGGACAGAAAATAAGTCATGTTCACGTGTCTGATAAAAATAGTCCGCTATGTAAGAAACGGCCTATTTAATACCCTGGTTTAATGAATATCTTCCGAAACCATCAGAGATGTAACGAGTACCAATTTATCTTATTTATTCTTTTACTCTTATAATCTCATCAAGAACGTATAATGAAATTTTGTTGAAAGTTGACTACGTAAAATATCACTATCTACAGACGGAATAGTAGGACAATTCGTCAGTTCAGTATCGGTATAGGTCTCAGCCTGATCAATAGACTGGCAACAGTCATAAAAAACTCAGATCAGTTCCATCGCTGATCCCAAATCGTTGCTTTTTTTTTGAGCATGAAAAGTTGAGAAAAAATATTATGATATTTTCAGGTGGTACTGGTAGTGGTTTTACTTCATTACTTATGGAAAGACTTTCACTTGAATATGGAAAAAAATCCAAACTTGAATTTGCTGTTTATCCTGCACCACAAATTTCAACAGCAGTTGTTGAACCATATAATTCAATATTAACAACACATACAACACTTGAACATTCTCATTGTGCTTTTATGGTTGATAATGAAGCTGTTTATGATATATGTCGAAGAAATTTAGATATTGAACGACCATCATATGCAAATTTAAATCGTCTTATTGCACAAATTGTTTCATCTATAACAGCATCATTACGTTTTGAAGGTGCACTTAATGTTGATTTAAATGAATTTCAAACAAATCTTGTTCCATATCCTCGTATTCATTTTCCATTAGCTACTTATGCACCGATTATTAGTGGTAAAATAAAAATTAATATGGTACACAGAAAAGAAAAATTCTTTATTGCTTTTTTTTTTCTCTTTTATTCTAGCTGAAAAAGCTATGCATGAACAATTATCCGTTAGTGAAATTACAAATGCTGTATTTGATCCAACAAGTCAAATGGTTAAATGTGATCCACGACATGGTATTTGAAGAAAAAAATAATAATAAATTTTCATATTTGATAAAAATTAAAAACTATTTCTAGGAAAATATATGGCTTGTTGTCTTTTATTTCGAGGTGATGTTGTACCACAAGATGTAAATAGAGCTGTAGCAACAATAAAAACAAAACGTTCAATACAATTTGTTGATTGGTGTCCAACTGGTTTTAAAGTTGGAATTAATTATCAACCGACAAGTGTTGTACCTGGTAGTGATATGGCACCAGTACCTCGTGCTGTTTGTATGCTTTCAAATACAACAGCTATAGCTGGTAATATTCTTATCATTGGAGAAAGAAATATATATATTATATTGTATTTTTAACAGAGGCTTGGGCACGTCTTGATCATAAATTTGATTTACTTTATACCAAACGTGCTTTTGTTCATTGGTATGTTGGTGAAGGAATGGAAGAAGGTGAATTTAGGTAAAAGTTTTATGTTTTATTTTAACATAAAATTTTAGTTTGTTTTCAATTTTAGTGAAGCTCGTGAAGATTTAGCAGCACTTGAAAAAGATTATGAAGAAGTTGGAATTGATACACTTGATGCAGATAATGATGAACAACAAGATGAATATTAAATTATAAATATTCATATGAACTAACAAGAATTGTTTTTTTTTGTTTCCTTCATTTGAATTGAATAAAAAAAAACTTCAAGAAAACATTTCAATAGTGTCATACATTCAATTGATTAGTATTCAAAAAATTCTAAACTCTTAAAATCTATCAAAGAAAAAAAAGTGATACAACTAGAATAATATTCAAAAGTATTTATTCTTTTTTCGATTTCACTGACACAGATAATCATTTGTATACTGTACGAGAATCAAAATATCGGCTAATAATAAACATATAGACAATGTTTACAACGTTTAAAGTTTTATCAATGCAAAAAACAATTAACATTTTTTTTTAACAATGACTAATGTTGAAGAGAACAGACTAGAGTCAAGCAAAAAAAAATGCACTTAATATCACTTGTAGATTCAATTCTCGAAGGATTATGATTAAAAAGTAACTGCATTTTTTACCTTTAATCACTTGATGCTAAATTTATATGCTGAATAGTCAATAAACTACATTCTTCAATAACCTGTCTTATCTGTCACATTGATGTTACTTACTTGTCTTTATTATACGTTATGTTTTTAATCAACAAAACACTTTACAAGTATAACACATGCACTACATTTGGGAATAGATTGTCAATCCAGGGTTTAGTGTGCCCAAATTCAACCATTTTTTTGATACGAAGAATTTCGGATGCAATTATTCAAATATCTCTAACAACAGTAATACATATTGGAGAGTACGAGTTCATTGAGAAATAGACGATTGGCTGAAGAAATATTGTGCAAAAATATAATTTATTTCAACGAGTAGAACAATGGTAGTGATGCATTATGTCAGCATTGCATCTCGAATTTATTCTAGAAACATAGAGTGTAGTATCTACGTTGTCTTCTTCATTTGCATTGTACTAAAGATCTGTGAAAGATTAAATTTAGGATTCACAGTATACTGCCAATGATCGAATTCTAGCATGTCTTGAATTACAAAATCCAGGGTTTAATTATATGCATATATAAGCACCAATAATACTTTATTTTAATATAAACTGAAAATAAATAATCTTCTCGGAATCTTTATTCACAAGTGGACTATCTATTATTTTCAAGTAATAGCTAAAACTCAATATAATATTAAGAAATAGTCATGACGTTCAGACAGACTCCTACAAAATGTACTTTTCTCGAAGGTTTATTCCTCTGGGATCTCGACAGACGTCATGAATCCTATAATTATTATGACCACGCATCAATTTTGTAGAAGTTCGTGTGTCTTTTGGTTTTTTTTTGCGTAGTATGATAGCATAATATCAGATAAAGATAGAGACAGGTATTAAATATTTATTTGTTCAAGTGCTTGTTTCCTAAAGGCATTCATTCACTTTATTGAAAGAAGTAATTGATTAAAACTTTGATCTAATTATTAATTTGAAATTTCAAAATTATAATCTGTTTTAGTATTTAATTGAAAAACAAACTATTTCGTAAAAAACAATTTTGTCAAATTAATCTGTAACAATGTGTTTTTGTTGTAAAAGTAAAAAAACAAAAATATTAGACAATATTCATATATTTGATTAAGGTAAATAGTATATTATATGATTGTAGTATCAAAAAATACCCAAGGGGAATCAGTATATGAAGAAGAAACATAAAAGATGCATTAGAAAATGATACAAAAACAACACAATCATTTTTTGATGAAATATGAATTCAATGTAATTTCTTTTATTGTAAGAAGAAAAACACCTTTAAATTAAAAAGTCTTTTTTTTCATCTCAGTGAACTTATTATATAACATTCATGTTTTATTTTTTACTGATGTAATAATAGATTATGTGTAGGGATAATATTGTTAAATTATATACGGAATATGATGAAGAGGCTAAATAAATCTTTGCTGTATTTTTACTTATTCTATTCTTCTGATCCAGTCATCTCTATTATTACACAGAATGCTTATTTTTGATATAAGAAAAAAAACACAAGATTTCAAATATTTTTCTATTTTATATCTAGTATACGATTATAAGAAAAAAATCTAATTAATATTTATTATGATAAAATACATATTGATATTTTAAACAGATATATCTAATCAAAATAAAAGAGAACAAAAGTATCCTTATTTTACAAATATATTAAATTATACACCTACAAACATTTTAATTAATTATACTCTGTTAAGAAACTCATTATACAATGTTTTATTAAGTAAATGAAGTCCATTTTGGAGGTTTGTACACTCATTGTCAAACGATAGTTTGTAAATGAGAATTTCCGTAAATAGGTTAATAGTTTCCCGAGTTAGACAAAAAAGGAAAATGGGTACGAATGAAAAAGTGAGAAAGGAAATGAGTAGAGTCAAAAAATGATCGATGTAATTTTTTTTTTTGTCAATGACTTAAAACAGATTGAAAAAAACAAGTGTATGAACGAACAAAAGAAAAGCTAGGTTATGATGATGATTTGATGTTTATGCGTTACTCTTCTATATGCTTTTTTTTTATTCTATGGTCTCTAAAAAGACAAATGACTTTAGCTTGTCTAGGGAATGTGCTTTGTAAAGAAGCATGATGAAGATCTTTCTCTTTTGATTTTTATCCTTAATCAACTAGACTCATTATTAGAATGAGAAGATTTCTAGTGGGTAGTGGACACTTTACACGTTTCGTTGAGTCTCTTATTTTTATACATTAATTATCGATTCTAGCTAAGTATTTAAAAAAGAAAAGCTATGGTATTTTTATTGATATTATGATAAATTTAGAGAGAGAGAACAAAAAGAAAAAAGAAGTAAATCAGTAAACGTATTTAAATGACTTGTTAATTATTCAGTAGTTAGAAAAAAAAAGGGGCGATAGACAATTTCTTTACGTAAAGAAACAAACTGTCACAACGTAATCACATTGAAATTTCACGTACATTATGAAAACGACGAGAAATATATGTGATAGAATTATTTTTATTGGAACTTTTGATTTTATTTTACCCTTTCGAGAAGCAAAAGTTTTATGTAGGTTTTGTTTTCTTATTAAGTAGTTGATCAGGTGTAATCAAAGAATATTTTGTATAAAAACTTTAGTAGAAATATAAAGATTGATTTATTTCGACAATATTTTGGATTTACTTTTCATATGTGCATTACTAGTGATCTGATGTGACAATCATCTCTCTCTCTCTTTCTCTCTCTAAAACTATATTTATTAATAGTAGTCATTGAGAAATTGTGAGAGATAGGAAGAATATTGGGCGTAATAGTAAACAAGATGATAAAAAGAAATAAAAAGAGTAGAAGAGAAAGAATCACGACAACAAACCACTTCGACAGTAAAAAATAATTGTGATGATGGACAGCAACAAGTTGTATTTTCATTGCTTGTTACCAATGCATTAGTTTCTATTGAAGTGCACTTATTGACTAGATATTTTTATCGAAAAAAAATGGTAGGGTTTTTTTTAGCCACAATTAGTTCTGCTATCGTTAATGGTAATAACAAAAATAATATAACAGCAGGTACAAAGAAAATGAAAGTAAAAGTTTGTATAAGTTGATGTTGCTTTTATCTTTAGTTTGATAATGACACACTTTATATCATATATTTATATATTATTTTTGCAATTTGTGTAATTGATAATAATAATAATAATATTATCGTTGCTTTCTTGCTTTTTTTTTGTTTTTATCCAAGATCCGAAACATATTTGTTTTTCATTTATTTATTATCTCTTGAAATCATATAATGATTATTTTTAGATGAACGATTTTATATATACATGAGTAACTCTTTCATTGAAAAAAATGCACTTAGAAATAAAAAAAATTTGTGTCTTCATCCTTGTCAGTTTAATAAGCATGTAGTAGTACTATCACACAAATAAATCTTCTTGTCCAGAAGCTTATTTTATATTCATGAGTAAGTGAATAGCAGTTGTAAAGAAGAAAAATATGTTTTCACAAATTCTTAACAGCTAATATCCTTAACAAAACAATAAAAAGAATGATTGACAGAGACATAAGAAAAATGTTCTTCTTATTCTTTTTTACTGTGTGTTTTTTCTCTATGCGTGCGGTCTCTTTCTATAATAGTTGAAATATGTTCCACTGCTCATAGTGTGGGTATCACAGGAGATCGATAATATGCAAACGATCGAGAATTGCCGCTGTTATTGTCGGCATCTTTGCGTGTTCTGTGTCTCTCTTACTCTCTCTTCGTCACTTTGTGCTCTTATTCGGAAAAATGTCTGTCAGAATGTTTACTAGCATGGTGTATTTACACAAATCGTATTATAATCTCATTGTCGCTCTACCAAGAACTATTGACATAAAAATTTTTTCTCTATTTATCGTGCGGGAAATGTTAATATATTATTAAAAAGCATTGAAGCATATGAAATAGTTTTGTAATTATTCTTCTTTTTTTTTTGTGACTTTTTCAATGTAGGTTAGACTATGCTCTAGATTCGCATCTTAATTTAGTTAGAGAGAAAAAGATTCATGCAATTCGTTACGTGACTGTCGTATACTAAAAAACTTTATTCAAAGTATTTTCCGTTATATTATCACTCGTTGTTTTCACAAGTATTTATAAGTACAACATGTATTTAAGAAATAGGGTCACTTTGTTTTCTTTTTTTGTTTTCAAGTGTTTATTTTGGTTTTATCCTAGATTATTAAATGATAAGAAGTAACATTCGAGTACATTATTATCTACTACTCACAGCGATAGGTCTCCTATAATATCCATGTTGTTATTGCATGCTGTTACTATCTATCCGACTCCCTTTTTTTTTTTAAATAGGCTCACGCGCATGTATGCAGTAAAGTAAGTAACTAAATCAATGAACGAACGAGAACAAAGAGAAGCTTTTCTTTTTTTACTACAAAGGAGAATATATTTGGAAATTAGTTGTACCCTTGTTCTTTTATTGACCCGATTAAACATTTGCATAATTGACAGTTTTGAATGTCACTTGATCTTTACTTAATATAATAAAATAAAATAAAAATCAACAAATTTCATTCTTAGTTATTTGTTGTTTTTTTCGAATACTTTCATCATGCATCTGTAAGAGATCTTATATGAATCTGGTTCTCTTTGTCGTATAATGATTATCATATCGGATAAGACGAAGAATGTGCTTGGTTACCAAGTACCATCATCTTTCTATGTATTGACAATAATAAGTAGATCCAATTAGCACTTATTCTTTTCTTCTTTTTTTTTGCTTCAGAAAACAAAGAATATAAGGTTTTTCAAGAGAGATTAACCTAGAACACTATTTTTCTTTCTTCAATTTAGTAGATTTCTTGCTGCTTGTATTTATATATGTTATGTTATTGTCTATTGTAGAGATAAGACTTCTAGTTATATAGAAGAGATCGATATTTTGTCGACAAGAACTCGTCTGTTTATTTGAGAGATCGTTATTTAAGTATACTATATCTTCTAATTTTTTTATGTGTTGAAAGATCTTTAGGTACATATAAATCTATATTTAATAGAAAAGCACTAATAGATTAATTAAATCAAAAGATAATTGACATATATGGATGGGCTTGTTTTTCTTTCACACTAGAGAAAATAGTTTTTTATTTTGCATAAACATGTATATATAGTTAGAATAAAATAATCCTAGTAAATAATTAACAATGGACAAATATCATAAATTCATATCTTATATATCTTTCTGTTTTTGTATGTTAAACGAGTAAAATAATAAATACTTTTCTCATAGATTTGTGATGTTAATTATTGATCTTTTGTCATTACTACTGTTATGTGTCAGTTCGACGTAATTCTTATTTCTTCTTTTTTTTTTTGTTTTTATTCTTTTCTTTATTAGTAATAAATCAATAGAAAATGTCAATCATAATTTTTCTCGTAAAAACCTGTTGCTATATCTGAAAAAGATCATTATCCATCGTTTAATGGTACTAACAGGAAGATCTATACCGATCAAAGTCTCGATCGATAATTTAACCATCGATCATAATTGTATTTCTTTTTTTCATTGCATGTGTAACATCGATTCCTATGGGTTTCTTGTTGTTCAACATTAGTAACATAAATAGTTAATGCAAAAAAATAGTAGTTATATATACAGACCTAAATTTCAATTTCTATTACATATCAATTGAAAATAATCAATGCAAATCATTTAGTTAGTAAAGAAATAAAATGTGATGATGTTGTTGATCATTTTTTTTTTCCTTATAACTATTGCTAAATGAGAAAATTGACTGTAAACATAATACTAACTTCATTTATTTTCACTAAGCATATACAAACAGCTATATAAAAAAAAACAAAACTGACTAATGTTTGTTTTCATGTAAGTACAAAGAAAAACTAAGTAAAAGATTTTTCTTTGTAAAAATAGATTTTGTCTGGTACTTTAACTAATGAGATTTTTTTTCTCTTTTTTTTCTTTTGTTTTATATGTTCTGATTAGATCAGTAACAATGTCGATTAGATTACTTCTTAAAAAGTCTTACATATAAAAAAATAATAGGAAGAATGACAATACCATTGTTGAAACAAGAGAAGCAGCAATAACAACCAAACGGAACGGTAATAATAATTGTGGATTAGAAGATCTCTTCTAGTCAACGTCGTCATTTTTCTCTTGTTCTCTCTTTCTCTCTATTTGTCTCTTTCTCAACGGCATATTCTACTTTTCTTCTCTCTTTCTACGTCGAAACAACGGCGTTTGCTCCTCACGCATGATCGTCCCAAAATGAGACATGCTACGTCATGGCAAGAGAATCAGTCAGGAGATGACGCTTTCGACAGACCATGTGAAACCTCAAGCAAAACTAACACCGTTGATACAGTGCTATCAATCTACTTTTCAACAACAACCCCAACAACAACAATCAATATATATATTAAATTTAAAAGCCAACTTTATCATCCAAGTGAAATTTTGTATATCCATATTATTATCATTTGTCATAAATATTACAATCATCAACACGTTTATTATTTCTTATTTATTTCTATTTCTATTTATTGTTCATTTTTCAACATGCATCAATTATCAAACGATACTAGTTCGTGGAATTTAATTGTTGTTCCACCTCCATCATCTTTACTTTATAATTCAAATACTTATGAATCTATGCCACATAATAGTACAACAGGAAATGATATAAATAATTTAATTTTACCAATATCATCTTTAGTAAATTCACAACCAACAACCAATGAAACAAATTCTGTTAATTATTGGGCATTAACACTCATAATTTTTCCTTTATTTACTATTGTTGGTAATGCACTTGTTGTTATTAGTGTTTATCGAGAAAAATCATTACATACTGTAACAAATTATTTTGTTGTATCACTTGCTATATCCGATATAACTGTTGCTGCTGTTGTCATGCCATTTGCTATTTATCTTGAAGTGAGTAGAAAAAATGTAATTTAACAATTAAGCATTCATTATATAACAATGCCTATATGTCTATCGAGAACTAGAAAGTTTTTATTTTCAATGCGGAAATAAACATCATGAGCACGTAGCAATTGTTATAGATATAAATTAAACAGAAAAAGAAATTCTAAAATGAAATGATGTGTTTGACATGATTGATGGAATTAAAAAAATTTCTATATAAGTTATTCGTATAAAATACAAACATGTACAATATATTTTCTAAAGAAAAAAGAATAATAGTTCTTTCAATTGTAGACGGAAATCCTGTGTGAAAGCGTGAGATCTTATTAAAGACAGAATTTATACGCCTGCTTTTATAACAAACAAATCAAATTGTTCTTGACTATTTCAGTAAAAGCATGAATAAATAATTGTTTGGAATAGAAAATTGTTAACGATATCCTGTTGAATAAAATGACTATATTGACCTTCAACATTTCTCAAATGATTTCCAAAAAAGTATATATATTTTTTTCCTGTATTAGTCTTCATAACTGTTCATATAGTAATGCTAGTTAATAAATAATTTTTTTTTTCTTTCGTATTAATATTCAAATTAGCTTGATAGTTAAATACTAAATACAAATATTCGTGTCGATCAAGTTTGACATAAGAGATTAATGTATATTATTTTTTTTTACTTAGTTTAATCGTGTATGGGAATTATCTGACCGTCTCTGTGACTTTTGGGTTGCATCTGATTGTATGGCATGTACAGCATCGATATTAAATTTGGTAATAGAACAAAAACAAAACAATTATTTCTTTTCGAAAACATAATTATTTTTTATTTTTTATGATATTTAGGTTGCCATTGCTGTTGATCGGTAAGATATAATTCATGAAAAAAACAAAAAAAAAAATAATTAATCTCTTATCATGATGAAGAACTTAGAATGTCTGTCAAATACGTTCACTTCAGTCTGCACACAATCTCGGTTTTCTTTTCTTTTTAAGAACTAAGAATGTCCTTAAAAATTTCTCATTAATAATTAACATCATCTAATTAAAATTTATTAATTTGAAATTTAATTTTAGCTATATAGCAGTAACAAAACCACTTAAATATGCTCGACATAAAAGTCCTAGACGTGTTGCTATCATGATTGTTATTGTATGGTTAACTTCATTTTGTATTGCTCTTCCTATTGTTGGGTAAAATTAAACAATGATAACCAAGTTTTTTTTTTTTCTTCAAGGTTTTCCTTTTAATTGTAGTGGTGTGAATAAATCTGATGTTATTGATTATCCTAGAGTACCTGAGCAATGTGCATTTTTTAATAACAAATTTCTTATTTTTTCATCGCTTGGCTCCTTTTTCATTCCATGTATTATTATATTTGCTATTTATTATCGTATATTTGTGGTGATTATGAGACAAGCAAGAAAAAATCGTAAACAATTTCGACCAAAAACTATTATTGAATCATCTGCAGCACATCATCGTACAAATGCTGATCATCTTATAACATCATATTATCAAGAACGACCATCAACTATAAATCAAACATCTATAACATCACCTATTGATTTAAATGAAACATCACCAATACATATAAATACTTCATTAGAATCTCAACGTAATAGTTTAATGTTAAAATTATCTACACCTGTTTTATCATCAGGTTTATGTCCTTTAATGAATGTAGTATCAGCAACTAGTGAACAAAATGATGATGATGAACGTGATGACATTTCTTTCTTTGTTCCACATGAACAAACTAATGGAAATAATAAAAATCAACATGAAAAGCAAATGGAAAATATTTCACCAAATATTATTAATTTTAAAACGAAAAATCGTAGTTCACAAACAGATATTGAAAATCATTGTCATTATCCAACTAAACGTGTTAAAACACGTTTAAAAGCTAAAATTAATTCTGATGGTTCAGCAGTACCAACAACAGTTATAGCATCAACAAATAATGTTCGAGTTGCTAAACGTAAAGCATATTCACGTATGAAAAAAGAACGTAAAGCAACACAAACACTTATTATTGTTCTCAGTAAGTTGAAAAGATACATTATATAACTTCAAATTTTATAGATCAAATATAAACGTATTTATGGACATATCTACAAGATAAATAGTAAAATGTCTTATTAATACATCTATGAATATTAATAATTATCGTACTGATTGGAGTAAAAATAGCATTTTCAATGTTGAAGTTAAGCTGTTTACTATCTTCTAGAGCTAAATGAGAACTCCATCTACCAACTCTGTAGTACGGAATATGAAATTACAAGATTCTTTTTTTTTTTTTCTGAAACCAATCTCTAGCAGAGATACCTTTACGTGATTATAATAAATTTTTAATTTAACTCATATTTCATATTAAAATTGATGATTATTAAAGCGAGACGAGTTTTTTTGAGAATCAGTGAGCAAAAGTAACAATAAAAAAATGAAATTTTGCTGAAGGAAAACGAAAAATTTTCAAGATCGGTATAGTCATCTCTGTCGATTTTTGAGAAAATTAGAAAAAGAACATATTTTTCAAACTTCTATGATAGTTAAGAAGATTATATAAATAATTTTGTTTTTTTTTTGTTTTAGTTTGCTTTTTAGTATGTTGGTTACCATTCTTTGTGCTCAATAATATAGTTAATGCTTTTGTTAAGTTATCAAAAAAATCCACAGCATTTCTTGTTAATGATTTTATTTTATCTTTATGTGTATGGTTAGGTTATATAAATTCATTTTTAAATCCAATTATTTATACAATTTTCAATATGGAATTTCGAAAAGCATTTGCCAAAATACTTTTCTCATCATGTCGATTTTCATCATCGTCTTAATTTGAACGGACTTATTATTATTATTATTATTATGATTATTATTATTGTTTTTTTTGTTTACTATATATACATGAATGTTTTCTTTTAAAGTCAGTACACTGTCACATTTGTCATGTTTGTATGTGTATGATTTTGTCTTAATCTTGTCTGAGCATATTTTTTTATCTTTGAAAAAAGAAAAAAAACTTCAAGTTTTTATTATATATATTCATTGTTAAATATTAGATAATAATCAATGAACAAATAATGTTGAGGGTAATTCATAGATATATATATATATATGGAGGAAAACATCGACATTCTTTTTTCCATTGTATTGAAAGAGAATAGATGATGTTTTGTTTTAATTCTACTAGTCGAATAGAAAAGTAAAGAAGATTCTGAATCCATTAGTTTTCTTTTTGTTTTCTCATGTGTTAGTAGACTATTATTATTGCGCATTTAAAAATAAAAGACAGGTTGTCATTTTTCGAATAACTTTTGATAGGAATGAAATACAGAGCTGCGGTTTTCACTATTCGAAAGAGCGATGTCTGGGTCATCGATATGTATAATATTCGTTGGAACGAAAGATGCTTTTTCATAGAAAACATTTGATTGACATTTTGTTTTTCTTGTGTATTTTCATTAATTTTCACGATAATCTCTTCTCAAATTACGCAAAAATGTAGCTGAAATCACCCTTTTTTCACTATAAAATGACCACATGTTTCATTATCCACGTTGATCTCTTTTTTCAGGTGGATTTCGACAAAATGATGATAAATTTAGAGGGAAACAAGGGTGATTTCAGCTACATTTTTGCGTAATTTGAGAAGAGATTATCGTGAAAATTAATGAAAATACACAAGAAAAACAAAATGTCAATCAAATGTTTTCTATGAAAAAGCATCTTTCGTTCCAATGAATATTATACAAATCGATGGCCCAGATATCACTCTTTCGAATGGTGAAAACCACAGCTCTGTATTTCATTCCTATCAAAAGTTATTCGAAAAATGACAACCCGTCTTTTATTTTGAAATGCGCAATAGTTCTCCTGAGAAATCTTATTATTTGCTTAATAAAACAAAAATTAATAAAGAATGAGAAAAACATTTTCCGATTGTTACTAGAGCAAATACTACAATATAAGTTTTCTGAGGTACATAGGTTTAGAAAACAAAAATTATGATAAGAGATTAAGCGAAAGGAAAAGGATAAGGAAATTGAATGATCATTGCTAAATTGCTAAATTGTCCTTTAAAATGGTTCAACATCGAATAAACGAAAATGTCTAGACAACAAAGCTGCAATAGACAATAATGATAAACATGAAACATTGTCGACATTGACGACAAGGTTATTTTTGATAGCTTTGACAAACTACAGAACCATATGTTAGAAAATTAAACTTTTCAACTTATAATTGATGCTATGGTGTAAATACAGAATTATTTGTACAACCAATAAAATTTTTTATAATACTAATCAATGAAAATTTGAGTAAATTAAAATTTTTCCTGTCGTAATTCGAAATGAAATCATTTGGAGCATGAAGAATGAGAATAGAATATTGCTGAATATCAGATGCTTAATGATTCTTGTTGTATGTAGATAATGAATATTTTCAAACAAGTCTGGTAATATGTGTACATATATTTGATAAACACAGAAAATATTCACTAATTTTTCAAATACTAAAAGACAATTGATTAGAGTCAAAACTTTTCAGATTATCATTCTGTGGTAAAATTGAACTACTATCAACATAGTTTATCAAAAAGTCCAAAATTATTCGTATACAACAACATTGTGGTTTTGCCACAGTCATTAGTTTTTCTCTAGATCTCGAGATACGTCTAGATAGTAGAATAAGCGAAATATCATAGCACTCAAAATCTATGCATTTCCACTAAAGAATTAGTTTGTATGAAAATTACAATTGGTCCTTTCATACAAGATAAAATAGAAAAGTAAATAGTGCATTTTGTAACTGATCAATTAAAAAGCGTTTTGGACTTTGAATGTAAAAGAATTTCAATCAAAATACAAAAATTGAACAAAAATAGTATTCTGTTCTGTACAATTGCTTTGTTTCGAACATTTTGAAACAATTTGATCATAGTATACCACCTCTCTTTAAATGCCAGAAAAATGAATGAATACATATTTTGTTCACGAAGTGAATCGTTCTGAAAAATAATCAAAATCAATAACATTAATAGTATTAGATGAAGAAAAAAGAAACGTAAGCCATGTCTTTTTTATTGTTGGTAGATAAATCGAAAATATTTCTATTGAATTAGATAAAGAGTTTGTGTTATGTATGGAACATGAGGGTATTATTCATAATCGAGTTTTTAGAATTTAAGAAAAAATATTAATTAACATTTGCTATATTCATTTCGAAGTTTCATTTGTTGTCATTAGAATTCTTTATAATATTTTGAATATTTTAAACAATTCAAGTTGAAATTTGAAATAATTATTTTAGAGATATATTTCTCATTGATGAGAGAATCTTTCAAGACATCCATCTCTGGTTTCTTTGCTATTTTTTGCATATAGATAACCTATATACTATAGTGCATTAACATACAATATTTAAAAACTTGACAGTTAACCAAAATGCAAATAAAAAGTTAGAAAATTGTTTTTACTGATGTTATTTTTCAATATCTATTGTATTGACAGAAATTTCAGTGTCTTTATAGAATTTTGTTTTCTAGAGGAAGGTCATACAACACATTACTTCACGTAATGATTTTTTTGTATTGCTCAAGGGTTCAGTTATTGTTCGATAATGGTCTACTCATTACATACTTGTTATTTTTCTATTCCAGTTTTACCAGTATTTTCAAGGCATTCTGTCATTAGCCATCTCGTATCAATTATAACAGTGTTTACTATGAATATAATAGATATCAAAAAAACAACATCAGAACAAACTAATTTTCTGACTTTTTATGCGCATTTTAATTGATTAACGTGTTTCTTAATATTATATATGATGCATGATAAGAGTTACATAATAATATTCATAACTGTTGAAGGAAAAGATAAAAACATAAATATTTCAAGGATTTTTTCTAGGACAATATATTATATCCATGCGCAAAAGGTTATTGAAATCAAATGGAAGCACCCGGGAATACTTCCTCGTCAATTTTATTTGAAATTCTTCCTGTTATGCAGATGTAATCAAACGTACATGTTTTTTCGCTCTTTTATGTAGATTCAATTGCTTATTTCTCCATTGTCAGTATCATGAGAATCAAACGAATATTTTGACAACAATAGGAGGTGATTATGTACGGTTTTCAGCAATAGAAAGATTAAACATCGGTACAATTAATAGTTTCCGAAAAATATTGAAAAAAATAATGAAAATGACGTGCAAATTTGCATAAAGTTTCTATTTTAAGATATGTCTTATATAAAGGAACTTCCACTCTATGAGTTCAAGATACAATTTGTATAATTATCTTCTCATGCATTCATATATGAACACATAGAACTATTCATTGGCTCAATCGAATACGAATGTGAAGTGTAGGTGTTCTCTTTATCCTCATCCGCACTCTGAATACCTAATACTCTAATCATAGAATATTGTTGTGTGAGTGTGAGAAGTAGATCACGTGTTTCGGTTACCTATCAACTACATGTTTTATTGAAACCTACAACAAAAAACAAGTACATTATTAAACCAATTTATATACGTTACCACTATTATGTCCTTCCTTATGGTATCATTCATATCAGTGTTGAATACTTCGTAAAAAGTGTTTTAATGTCTATATTTTGTACATGAGATACTTGTCTGTAACTTTGCTACGTTACATCAAATGCTCATACAACTTTTTCTACGAAAAATAAAAGAAAATTTTTGAAATAACATGAATGTGTTTATTATAGGAAAACGAATACTTTATCTCCTTTATTTCTTTTTTATTTTATTTTAATTTTTATTAAAAGTATATCATTAATATAGATGTAGATGAAATGACAAAGAAACATTCATCAAAAGAATAATGTCTTAACACATATGTAACTTGTTCGTTTTGATACAATCATTTACTAATTATTATGATCGTTTTTGACAAAAAGCAAATAATGAAAATTGCGATTTCTAGTGAAGTTACTAACCCGTTCTGTGTATGTATTTGGAAAAAAAGTGATATAATAAGTTTGTTTACATAATAGAGAAAGAAGAATGTACACTATCTGATTTATAACCAAATAAAAGCAAACGACTTACACTGGGCAATTTTCACATAGCAGGGGAGCATGTAGCTTTCATGCTCGGACACGAATTTTTATTGTTCAGAAATGGTTATATATCATTTGAAAAATCAACTCTAAGAAAACAAACCATTTCTTAAAAAGAGACTCTTCGCAAAAATTTACCGCAGAGGACCTTTGTCACATTTTTTTGAAAAATTTTTTTTGTTATGAAATATATTGTTCCGCACATCATTCGACTTAGTTCTTTCGCTCGGATGCTATTTTAAGGAAAAAACTGGGACTTTGTGTAAACCTGTAATTTAATCGACGTTCACTAATGCTTTTTGGCAGTATAAACAACGATAGAATCTACAAGGATAATATTTGTTCAAAGTTTGAGTTGCATTCGATTGAAACTATTTGTAATGTTTACAAAATTGTGAAAGTCAATTTTCGAGAAGATTTTTAGCATAATAGTCAGAAATATATGTCCTAAAAAGCGCTTTTTATTATAGAAGGTTCGGTTCAGTTCAATGAGCTAATTCCAAATATCTATCATATAGGCTTGCATCAAAATGATGTCTTCTTTACAAAAATAGAGATTTGGGGGCAAAAATCTTGGTTTTGGGGAGACCTGTAGCATCAACTGTGATCAACGCTACAAAATGGTGCTATGACCAACGATGGACTCGATACGAAGAAATAATCAGCAAAAGTTTGAGATCAATCGCACTGAAACTCTTTGTAACGTTTAAAAAATACGGAAGGCTGGTTTTTAAAATCTTGTCGAT